TTACGAACTGAGATCACTTGCTTATGCAAGATTTACAAATGTTATACAAGAAGTGAAGTTAACTGTAGTTTATATAAAAGTAGTTCATATGAAAAAAATAACGTACATATTAAACTAAATCACAAAATACTTTGATTAGTCGTTTTATATAAACTACTTTTATATAAACTACAGTTAACACTTCTTGTATAACGTTTGTAAATCTTGCATAAGCAAGTGATCTCAGTTCGTAAAACGTGCAATTTAATCAAAGTATTTTCATTTAGTTTAATATGTAGGTTGTTTTTTTTTATATGAGCTATTTTATATAAAAGTAGTTGATATAAAAAGAATAACGTACATATTAAACTAAATCACAAAATACTTTTATATAAAGTAGTTTATATACAAAAAGCTACGTACATATTAAACTAAATCACAAAATACTTAGATTAAATTGCACGTTTTACGAACTGAGATCACTTGCTTATGCAAGATTTACAAAATGTTATACAAGAAGTGTTAACTGTATTTTATATAAAAGTAGTTCATATGAAAAAAAAGAACGTACATATTAAACTAAATCACAAAATACTTAGATTAAATTGCACGTTTTACGAACTGAGATCGCTTGCTTATGCTAGATTTACAAACGTTGTACAGGAAGTGTTAACTAGTTTATATACAAGTATTTTATATAAAAGTAGTTCATATAAAAAAAACAACGTACGTATTAAACTAAATCACAAAATACTTATATATAAAGTAGTTAATATAAAAAAAACAACGTACATATTACGTTGTTTTACTACGTACATAAACTAAATCACAAAATACTTTATATAAAGTAGTTAATATAAAAAAAGCTACGTACATATTAAACTAAATCACAAAATACTTAGATTAAATTGCACGTTTTACGAACTGAGATCACTTGCTTATGCAAGATTTACAAACGTTATACAAGAAGTGTTAACTGCAGTTTATATAAAAGTAGCTCATATGAAAAAAACAACGTACATATTAAACTATATCTTCTGTACAGCTAAATGTAGTCTTATTGATCATTGTTAGAATGATATATATACTGCGTTATTTACCATATCTCTATGTAAATAATCAACTATTAGGAAATATGTTTGTCAGAGTATTCACAGCGATTTCAATAAAGTATTACGAAGAAGTACATGAGTAAAGAACGAAGTCAAAAAGCGAAATAATCAATTTTGACGCGATTAAAGAAGATTATCAATGGCGATTGTACTAAACTCTAGTCCATATCGACTAAGAATCGCAAATTATGCGTGAAGATTGTAGAGTTTCTTGACAATTCTTATGTACAGATGGATTCAAGTGTTTCTGTTCAGTATTTATCATTATACCAATATATCATGCTGTCTTCCAAATTTTGCATAAGGAGAAATGATGGATGAGTCGGAAGCTGAACGAAGAGCCAGTTTGGCTTGACAATGTGAGAGATATTAACGTCATTATTAACACTCAACCAGGGACAGGGGCCGTTGAATCAGGACATTATACACAACTTCTCCGATCACCTCGGCTATTGTCGCGATCAATCATGGTTACAAAGTATTGCTCTTTTTTGAAATAGTTATAGTTCTGAAATAAATGTTAAAAAATTATTATAACATAAATGTTAAATAACTATCAAAATGAATAATTATTAATAAAACAATTATTATTTTACTTACTGCTGATGTTCTAAGGTATCATTTAAAAACGAAATCATTCTGTGTTTATACTTTCATCCCCTTTTTATATTTTTGTTTTTGATTGCGTACCCATGTTTTAATCGCAGGCACTTTTTGGTGTCCTAATAAGTCCTTATGCTTTTGAATAAGATTTCCAATTTCACTGAATGTGGGTAATTTCTTGTCAGTGGAATGTATGTAATGACCAAAAGCATCGAGAACGACACGTTTTTCATCTGGTGTCCATGTGTGAGTAGATTCTGGAAATACAATATTAAAATATTTATTAATTTATATAATTGTCTCTAAAGATTTACATATAATATTTAATTAAAATTTTATAAAATATTTAAAGATTTATATATATAGAGTAAGTAACGAGAAGTTTCGAATTCAAAACATACACGTATTGTAGATTAGGTCATCCAGAACAAAAAGTCCTCTATCATTTTGCGAACCACGCAAATTTCCGAGTTATTAATTAAAGAAACCTCTATACATGACAATTTTTAATAATTAATAATTAATAATTCAAAATTTTGCGTGGTTTGCAAAATGGTAAAGGGCTGTTTTGTTCAGTATGACCAAATCTATATGTATATTTTTGATTCGAAACTTTTTGTCATACACCTTGTATATGTGCAATATGTATATGTGTATAATTATAATGTCAAAATTGTATATATACCTATATGTGTATTATAATTGCAAAATAATTTTTTACTTACTCTTATTTCTTTGTTGAGAATCCTTCAGTTTACGATTCTGATTCTTTTTTCTCTTTACATTTACCACATTTTGATCATTTTCCATATTATCATCTAAGTAACTAATATCCGACGACGTATCAGGTTCATCAACATCTTCATCTACATCTACAACGAAAGAAATTTATGAATCTATGACAGGTATTGATAGTTCGATGTTATATTTAAGACCGTCTTAATTTCATCTTCAGATGCTGTAAGAGCCGTTTTATTGGCTACATAGCATTTGAAGATAAACTTAAGACCTCTTTAAATATAAGATTGAATTACGAATGTACCTTCTATATCAAAGAATCTATATAACCTCAGATTCAAAATTAGATCCACCAATTGACCATTAAAGTAAAGTATGAATAAAAAATTTTAATTTAATTTATTTGTAAAAGAATAAAGTACCTTCTTGAAAATCCCGGATGGTTCTTTTAGATGCAATTTTGTTGGAAATCCCGGATGGTTCTCCCTCATTAATTTCGCCATCGTAAGTTTTCGTGGTAGTCTTCGTTGTATTTTCTATATCTGAGAGTCCAGAGTCAGAATCATTACTGTCACTTTCATCCATATCAACTCCTTGTGCTGCTTCAAGATATTGAGATATTTCTAAGATTTCTTTTTCTATAACAGGTTGTCTGTAGTGAGATAAATGAATTTTATCGGCATGGCCCATAAAGTTTGCAAGCGTTGAAATCTCATTTTCTGATAGATTATAATGAATACATGTTGTTGCTATATGCTTCCGTAATTGAGTTCCACGAAGAGTATCTGGATTTTCTGCGCCACTTTCTACTGCGTATTGCCGTAATAAGTCACACGCTAAAAGATATTTATGATTATCTTTTTTAAGCGAAGGAAGACCAAATAGATACGGATTCTTTGAAGAAACTTTCGCAGCCTTTCTATGCTTTAAAATCATTTCAATGCAGTCTCTTAATTCTGCTGTTAGTAAGACTGGTACCGTTCGTCCAAGTTTACCTCTTAAGGTGAATCGTACATATTTTTTGGCAATTTCTTTGGCACGTGGTGAAAGCGCTTTATACATATCGTTTGTTTGAAAATTAATTCCTTGATAAGTTTTATAATCTTCGATTAGCGTCCTTTGTATCTCTCCAGCTCTACGACGATTGAAGACTTGTATTGAAATCAATGTTGCTTTTGTAAGTGAAAGCCATGCATCATAGGAAAACTTTTCTTCCAAGGAATTATAAGTTGTTTCACGTTCTTGTTTTAGAAAGTTATGGAGCTTAATAATATCTGCCTTAGAAGGCAACGTAATTTTTTTACGTCTCAAATTTCTACTCATTGTTTCTGATATTGTTTTTGATACGCGTGTATTAAAATCTTCGGTAAATACCTTCAAGAAATCTTCGGTACGTAATTTCCTTTCTCCGTCTTCGTTTCTAATGCATCGATTGATCAAAATTTTGCCCATTTCTTTTATCAAACCTCCAAGTGCAGAAGCCAGTGATGGAGTTTTATAAAATTTTGCACACAAAGATAAACCGGCTAGACTATTGATTGCTTCAATGCAAGCAATGCTGTATCGGGGGAAGTAAATGGAAGCAAAATCCGTAATATTAGAATTTTTACATTTCAATTCTAGAAGTAGGCGACCCATCCTTCTCATTTTTTGTCTAATCATCGCATCATTGTGTTCAGATGTTTTATATTTTTCGCACTGTTGATTACCGAATGCGATTACTAACTCATCGTAACGAATAGCCTTTACTGTATCGTCTTCTCGTAAAATTGGGAAAACTCGTCTTCTTAGATCATTGCTTGCCTCATTATGTATACGTCCTACCACTTGTCTTCCTAAAACCGATATCGATCTAGTATCTTTACTTTTAATCGTAATGCATCTCCGATAGTGATGTCTGCTTGTAACTTTTAGAATGACAACTTTACATTTTGGACATACGACATAATCAGAAGGTGTTCTGTTGTATTCTTTTTTTGAACGTCTTTCTACCAGTAGTTCACCATCATTTACTGCACAATCGACATTAAAATAGAAATCTCCACGTCTACGTATCGTTTCTAGGATCTTTCTTCGTTCATTCGTCCCTTTTGGTATATTTTTAAACTTTTGTACTTCTAATTCATTAGCATGTACTCTTTCAAGATGACGAGCTATTTTGCTCTGAAACGTTTTGCAATACATGCAGAAATGCTTCTTGTTTCCCGCACCAACTGATGTAACAAACATTTCAGTGTCATCCCTGGCACATTTACCAGATACGTTTAGTGACATTGATATTTCTAATCCACTAGAAGTATTTGCTGAGTTGTTAGTTTCTTTAGTAACAGAATTTGTTGCCTGATCTATCACAGGTTGAACATAACTTTCATCAGATGAAGTGTTTGATGGTACGTAAGACGGATCCGTATCATGAATATTTTTTGAAATGTTGTCTTGCACAGTTTCATTATTAAGGCAAGCTAGGAAGAAAAAAAAAACGTTGAATATCACAAAAATTATAGACTGATTGCTGATATATAAGAAACTATGTGGTCAGTTTTATCCATACAGTTAAGGAAATGTTGGACCTTGATTATAACTGTTTTCGTAGTTCATTATTCGTTTTTAATTGATTGTATAAAGTGGCAAATGCTTTTACAATGTGAAGGTACACTAACTAATGGAAGACTGTCCAATGTTACTCAACAAAAGAGTTTCATGTAACATTGGGTGGTTTTCCATTCATTAGCGTTTGTACTTTCACACTGTAAAAGTATTTGCTATTCTATGCAATAAAAAATAAAGAGTAAACTACGAAATGCTTATGTATTTAATTATTAATTTACATAAGCATTTCAATTACATTAAATGGTGATTTATAAATAAGTTATTATTTTTTATATTAAAGCAACAGAGAGTAAATATTGCAAAACTACATTTTCTATAATTCTCCGTTCTTGTATAATTTACTTGCACTTTAATGTAACAAAAAGAGAGGACAATGATAGATTTATTTTTGATAAACCGATGTTCAGATTTATATAATAATGGATTCTTACTTTAGGTCAGTCATATTAGACATCGAACCTTCCAATTAATCTTCCTAGGTTGCAACCACCATGAATTGCTTTGATATGAAATGCTATAAGTGGGATTTATTTTGCTTCAAAAATTTAACGTAGAATAAAAAGATAATATTAACAATATTATCAACAAAAAACACGATTTTTTTTATTTTTTCTCAAATATCTCGAAAACTAAGTAAGATAGGATAACTAACTGCACATACCTTTTTTGTAGAGCGTAAAATTATCTACAATAATGATCTGAACAACATTTATCGTCAAGTCAGTCGTTTAGCTTGCACGCGCCGTCAAAGTCTGAGACTCGTATTCCGAAAAAATCCTCGATTTTATCGTTTTTTTTATGTTGCGTCGGTGATTTTTTCCCATTATTTAAAATGGAATTAAAGACCCCCCAAAATCACACATTATCTTAGAACTACTAAGAATACTTTTCATGATGCAATCGATTTTTTAGTTCTTTAGTTTGTAGCTATGTAAGCAAAAAATTTTGATTTTTTGAAACAGTCTTAGTTTTTCACTGTTTCCAGACTTTAGAATTTATTTGAGACGAATTATATCGTATGCATCTTGTTGTGGACGAAGTTTGCAACAAAAAAGGACTCTTGTATTTTTTTCGTACGCTGATTTTTTTATTGACGCGCAAAGTTATCCAATATTGCGTACAGGTCAGATAACGCTTTTTTACATTAAAATAATTTTTTATTAAAATTTGTGATTTTTCGCAATATTATTGGATCATATTGCAAAGCTGTTTTCAACACAAATAATGCAAAAAATCACTTAAAATTTAATGAAAAATAATTATTTCGGTGTAAAACAAACGTTATCCGACCTGTGCCCAATATTGAATAACTGTGCGCGTCATTAAAAAAAATCAGCGTTCATCGTACAAAAAAATACAAGGGTCCTTTTTTGTTGCAAAGTTTGTCCACAAGATGCATACAACAAAATTCGTCTCAAATAGATTTTAAGACCTGAAAACAGCAAAAAACTAAAACAATTCCAAAAAATCAAAATTTTTTGCTTAAATAGCTACAAAACTAAAGAAAAAAGGTCTAAAAAATCAGTTGCACCATGAAAAGTATTCCTTGTAGTTCTCAGATAATGTGATTTTTAATTCCGTTTTAAATGACAAAAATCACCGACGTAACATAAAAAAAAAATCGAGGATTTTCGGGATCCGAGTCTCGGACTTTGACAACGCGTGCAAGCTAAACGACTGACTTGACGATAAATATTGTTCAGATCATCATTGTAGATAATTTTACGCTCTACAAAAAAGGTACGTATAGTTACCCTATCTTGCTTAGTTTTTGAGATATTTGAGAACATAAAAAAATCGCGTTTTTTTGTTGATAATATTGTTAATAACTTTTTATTGCGCGTTAATTTTGCGAAGCAATATAAATCCCACGTACAGCACCTTAAATCAAAGCGATTCATAGTGGTTACAACCTGGGAAGATTAATCGGAAGGTTAACCCACTAAATTAGTCTAATAAGACTGGCCTACTTCCTTCTTTTCATATAAAAAGTCTACTTTTACAAAAATATGTTAATAAAGAAATATTTAAGAATTGCAAAGAGTCTAAAAAAAGCGTGTAAATTAGAAACTTGCACATTGCTTCTTTATCATCAGTTAGCAAGGAATGCTGATCTTCAAAGCCAGATTTTTTTTAATTAAAGCAACATAAAATATTATGGCTTCCTCACAGAGAAAGCTTAATGAGCGAAAAAAAATGTTGAAATAGCAATGTCAAATCTTTTGTATCTTAAACTTGCGCATTGCTTCCTCAACATTTCCTTTCACTCATTAAGCTTCCTTTATGAGGAAGTCAATCAATTATATATTAATAACTACCTATAAAACCAGCTTTCTCTGTAGAGCAGCTTTGTGAGCAAAATAAAATAATGAGGAAACAATATGCAAATTTCCAATTTGTACACTTTATTATTTACATATGTCATATATATACATTGTGTATATGTATGCTAGATGAATAAGATTTTTTTATTAAAAAGGTTATAAAAAATATATTTTCCTATGAGTAGTTGTCCTGTTTGTTTGGCAAAAGACAAGACACATTTTTAATAATTTTAGGCTAATATATGTACCAGAGTGACAATATTTTTGGGCCAAAAATTTAATTTTAAGTCTCATCTCTTAAATTCTACGAACTCTCAAATGAAAACCCTTGAAGAGCAGGCGCTGTAGCTTAATATTTAAACTGAGTAATTAATGCAATCTTTGGCATAAAATCGTCTATAGCAAATATAATATAATTTAATAAATTTAACTACTTTTTAACCATCCACAGCTTATAATCTTGTTTTGTAAGTAAATATATCAAACGCCACTTTAGAAAAACATTCTATCATCTTCAAATTAAAGCCTCTCTAAAGTTATATGATATTGCTTAAAAATTAATGGTCGCTAATTGCTTTAAAATATTGCTATTTTATTAAATAGTGCACTTAATGTAATTTATTACATTAAATCCTTTTATTATTTTAAAAAATAAATTATATTATCAATATATTAAAATTAAGTCTACGTTTCCAGCAGGAAGTTTTCGTGCATCGCATTTATCAGATTTCATATAGTTTATCATAGTCCTTGCGTAATGACTCTTAAGAAAGAAGAAGAGATCCGATACGCGGCCAATGTCTTGCAACCCTTTTTTTTAATAGCCAACTGTACATACAAAGTTCATTAAAACAATCACCTATAGCATAAACTATATGGAATCTGATAAAGGCGATGCACGAAAACTTCTTGTGGGAAACGTAGACTTAATTTAAATAATATATTGATAATATAATTTATTTTCCAAAATAATAAAAGGATTTAATGTAGAAAATTACATTAAGTGCACTATTTAATAAAATAGCAATATTTTAAAGCAATTAACGACCATTAATTTTTAAGCTACATCATATAACTTTATAGAGAGACTTTAGTTTGAAGATGATAGAATGTTTTTCTAAAGTGGTGTTTGATATATTTACTTACAAAACAAGATTATAAGCCGTGGATGGTTAAAAAATAGTTAAATTTATTAAATTAGTTTATATTTGCTATAGACGATCTTATGCCAAAGATTGCATTAATTAGTCATATTTACATTTTTGTTTCATGTGTTGTACCTCAAACTTGATAGCCAGATACTTTAATAAGTTAACTAAAAGAGATATAGCAGTAAAAATAAGTAAAAAATGCAGTTTCTTATCATTTTTTCGAAAAACATTTAATGTTTACAAACTTTGAGCGACCTCTAAATATTAAGCTACAGCGCCTGCTCTTCAAGGGTCTTCATTTGAGAGTTCGTAGAATTTAAGGGGTGAGACTTAAAATAAAATTTTTGGCCCCAAAATATTGCCACCCTAATATGTACTCATATTAGGGTACAAGAATATGGAGAGGAATAAGTTGATCAGTTAAAATATACTTAAAAAAAAGATAAGGTAGACCGAGGCAAATCGGATCATTCTCTTTTCATTTTTTCGTTATACAATAAGAAATATTACATTTATGTATTATTTTATTATAATCCAAGCTAAAGTTATAAAGATTAAGAATCTACAACAAAATTAAATAACAAAATTTGTTTTGATTACTTCTTTACCGAAAAAAAAAAATTGATCCGATTCGCCTCGGTCTATCCTATTTAATGCAATACTACATTATGATGACAAACTCACTTTCGTTCATATTGACGCAATCTAATTTGGGCCTATTGCAATTTGCACTCTCCACAACATCTTGTGACATACAGTTCAAAGATTCATTCTGCTCATCGATGGACGAATTTAAACAGGAATTATTTTTTGATTCCTCGTTAAGAAAACCTGTCGAACAAAATAGAATATAATCTACGTTCTCAAAACATTACGTAATATTATTTTTAAGCAGTTTTATTTAAAAACAAACAATTCTAATTCATAGATGTTTTATAGATATATAACATGCAGATTGAAGATAACTATCAGTACTAAACAGAAATATATATATCCGGTTTTTTGTTTAATCAATTTACGTCGAGTCATTACTAATCGCTTCAAAATCAATTAATATTAAATGTGTTTACATCGTTAGAGCTTACTCACTTTCGTTCATACTGTCGCAATCTAATTCGGGCCCATTGCAATTTGCACTCTTCGAATCATCTTGTGACATACAGTTC